GGTGTCCTGTTTTGTCTGCAATAATTCTTTAATGGGAAGTCCATTAAACAAATATTTTCTTAGAAATTATCCTGCTAAGAGTATCAAAACCACAAAACTCCTCTAGACCCATTTAGGAATTGAACTTTTGATTGCCCCCAGATAAGGTACTTTATATTGTGATTTGCTTCTTATTTTCTTCCTTTATTAATTCATCATTTATTCATTCTCTCAGCAAACATTTGCCATCTCCTAAGTGCCAGGTGTTTTGCCATGCAAATATTTTTAAAAACGGAACTTAATTTTGGTTGCAAACTCCCATGGAATACAAACTTAATCTTATTCTGTGAGGGTCCCTCATTTTCTCAGAGTTGTACCTAAGTTCTGTAAAGCCAAGCTCATGTGAAGCCAAGTCATTGATGTGATACTTATGACCTTTATTTGTTCACCTTGGATTCGACTGAGATGTCCCATTTCAGATGATTTTCAGTTGTTGTGTCTCTCAGGTCCAACCAAGAAAAGTGAAATCATTCTATATTTTTAAATTAGTGGAATTTAATAGAGTGACATAGTTAGGCAGGTTATGGGGAGATTTAAGACCAAGGAGAGGACCATGGAGCCTCCCAGACACTAATAATAGCAGAAAACTACTGTTTTCCTGAAGATGAGGGAATTAAAAGAAAAGCAATGATTGTTGGACCCAAGAGATGATATGCAATTGGCAGAAGCTGGATCTACAAGTGGCCCATTCTGGCAAAGCTGGCAAGAAGACATAGTCATCACTGGAGGCATCTGCGTGCACAAAGAGAAAAGGGGTGGACCACTACTGCCCTCCTGTCTCTAACCTGTGCCTCTTATTGGCCAAGTCTAGTGGGCAGCAGCTGAGCACGGAGCTCAGGAAAAGGCAGCCTCAGTGATCTATCTGGCCTATCTCACTCCCAGATACAAATTATTTTTTCTTATACCCCCTCCTCAGTAAGAGAAATTGTTTTCAGTTATAAGCTTCAAATTAACACATTTTTATTATTTATCCTTTAATGGACACTGTATTCTTTACAGACATAACTCTGAAGAAACCACAGTAAGTTCATTACAGGTTAGACTCATTGGAGCTAGCTAGTGTATACACAGTGTGTGTCTCCAATTTCTGTAGCAGAGACACTGTCAAGACATAGACACAGAACTCAAGTTATTTTAATTTTGTCATTTTACAGCAACTGGGGTTTTTTATTTGTGTTAAAGAAATTAAAACAATAAAACCAAGTAAACAGAGTGGTGATTTGAAAAAAAGGCCTTGCTGAATGTAAGGAAAAATCCTCTCTTGAAACAAATACATATAGCCATGTGTCAAGGCTCACTGTAGGTTTTCTATCTATCATCTATCTACCATCTATTTATCATCTATTTATATTTATCTAGTTTGCTAAGGCTGTTGTAACAAAATACCACGGACCTGGTGGTTAAAACAACACAAACTTATTTTCTCATAGTTCTGGAGGCTAGATGTCCAAGATCGAGGTGTTAGTAGAGTTGGTTCTTTCTGAAGGCTGTGAAGGAAGGCTCTGATCCAGGTCTTTCTCTGTGGTTGTAGATGGCTGTTGTCTCCCTGTGTCTCATATTGTCTTCCCTCTGCTTCTGTCTGTATCCAACTACCCTCTTCTTTTAAGAACACCAGTCATATTGAATTAAGGTCCCACATTTATGTCTTCATTTTAACTTTATCTCTTTCAAGACCTTATCTCCAAATATGGTCACATTCTGAGATACTGGGGGTAGGATTTTAATGTATGAATTTTAGCAGGGGACACAATTCAGCTCTTTGCTGGATATATCTATCATCTATCTATCTATCTATCTATCTATCTATCTATCTATCTATCATCTATCTGTCTCTCTGTCTATTTTCTACATCTACAGTAACTACAGTGATTTGCAGGACTTAGACCAACACATTTTTTTTTTCTTTCTGAGCAGGAGTGCTTTATCACTGACTTTTTTAGAAAGGCCTTTATGTAAAGATAATAAAGAACAGATCTGATATTTAGGTGGATTTATTATTGCTTTTAAATTCTCTACAGATAGAGTTACCCCTTATTGCCTATACCTGGTGAGGACAACTGCCATCACCCACTCTTGGCGTACCACTGCACAACCTGCAGGGACGAGCATCCTTAGGATACAGATTAGAGCAGAGGAAGGCAAGGAATAGATCTGAAGACAAACAGGCCATGGACGCCCTCCCCCCTACCCCACCTTGTCCATCCATGTGTGTTACTGCTGTGTTCTCACTTAATCCCAACAATCAGGACTTTTGGAATGCTCTGTTCCATTTTAAGGGGAGTAGGAAATATTCTCCTGTTCCCATAGTGTTCTAGCTGTGGAAAACATGGCAAGATTATCTCTTGACCTGACAGACTAAACACATCACAGAGATGTTTCTTATCTCCCAACACTGTGAGTGCATGAGGAAAACTGTCAACATCCTTTGTTCCACCTCAGACAGGACACAGATCATTTCTGTCCTTAAATTCTCAAACCCATCTGAGAGTTTGTCATTTCTCTGCATCTCACTCTCCAAGAACTGAACTAGGGAGTGTCCATAGGTTTCTTCCCAGGGACACACTGAAATCTAGACCTTCTTAACTCTGCTCCTTTTTATTTTACCTTCATCCAAAGAAATAATTGTATAATCTTAAGATTCAGAAACACCTGATTCTGACTTAGCCATTTTATACTTTGCCTAAATTCTGAGTCTCCTCAGAATTTAGGCTTTTCAGACTTAAAAAACAAGAACTGTCTTTAAACTTCTGAGTTCTATTGTTTCATCTCTTCCCTGTGGGAAGAGGAGCTTCATATTAGCTAAAATCTCAAATTACTATTACTGACATATATAGTTTCTTGATCATTCCTCAAATATTTATTAAGTCTCTACTTAGTATGGCTGACTTCTTGATTTCTCAGTGTTGGTATATGACTTTGGCCAAGTCATACAACCCTGTAATTTTCAGTTCTCTTAGTTAAAATCTGTTGATAATGCTCTCTGCACTGTCTACAGTATGTGGTAGCTGCGGAGAGCAAGCGAGCCCAACAAAATATTTTTAAATGTATCAAGATCTTTCTGCAAAAGAAAAGCATTATTAGTGTGCATTTAATTAAATTTGTAACCTACAAAGGGTTAATCTTTTAAAACATTTTAACCATGTGTGGCTAGATAATATTATATTTCCCCCCTCTCTGTGGTCCCCATTCCAGAGGGCAGTTAGCAATGCATTTCACTGGTTCTCTAGATAGGGAGTAGATAGCAAAACTGAAAGCAAAATCGCCTAGAGAAGTTTCAGTCTTTATTTATGCATTTTTGCTTCTGAATGCCTAAGCGTCTATGAAATTGTATAATTTTTTTTTTTTTTTTTTTTTTGTCTGTACGTGGGCCTCTCACTGTTGTGGCCTCTCCCGTTGCGGAGCACAGGCTCCAGACGCACAGGCTCAGCGGCCATGGCTCACGGGCCCAGCCACTCCGCGGTATGTGGGATCTTCCCAGACCGGGGCACGAACCCGTGTCCCCTGCATCGGCAGGCGGACTCTCAACTACTGCGCCACCAGGGAAGCCCCTGTATAAAATTTTTGACAATGGAGGAGGAGATTTGTGGAGGTGATATTTTTTAAAAAATTCCTACGGGAGAAGGCAAAATTTGCTTTACCACTGCTTGTAGACAGCTGGTAACCAAGTCAGGAGGTCAGATTCCTGCCATGACTCTGGGAAATGATGTCATAGGTCATCTGGACACTGGCTGCTTTGGTAGTTTTTCAAAGTTCCTCTGGCAATTCTATTAATATGCAGCCAGGGTTGAAATCCACCGATCCAAGCAGCCCAGAACAAGAAAGTCTCAAAAAACAATTGCCAAGCATGACAGAAAATCGACCGAGCAGAGAAGCCTAAAGGGACCTTGTGGGCAGGTATAATAGACATCATCTCAGTACATCTATGGAGTGATGATCATGGACTGATCCCCTGAACCTACCACTCAGCTGCTGCTTATCCCTGCAGAAGACCCCCCAAACTGTGTAATACATGGGAAAATACCCAAGAAGTTGAATTTAAGTTGGATTTAAAAAAGAAGATGCATTTCTTCCATAGCTGGGTTTGTGGTGTGATATTTACATCTACAATGCACCTTGAAATTCGTTGAAAATTATTAATTTTTTTTGGTGTAGAAGGAAAAATAGTGCAGCAGAGAGAAGGAACAATTGTTTTTGTTTCCAAAGTATACTCTGATTAATGAAAGGGCAAGGAAAAGAATTCTTAGTCCCTAAAACTTTGCCCCATATTCAGTAGCTAATGTTGTCTCTAGTAACTTTATGACTCTACCTAGAGTTACACAATTTTACTCTTTGATTCTCTGACTAGCAGGATATCATGCCTCATTTAGATTCTGGAACCCATCCTGCCATACTAATTACTTCTTCTAGTGAGCCAAAGGGTAAGACAAATGATTCCATGACAATCCTTAAGCATATATCTTGCTTGTCCTGATGTCTTATGTATTTGCTTGTGTAAGATAAATGACTCCTTTTCAACATGCCCAATATTTTGGTCTTTCTCAATTAAGACTGAAAAATAAAGCAATCTTAGAAAAAATCTATCTAAATTATTGGTTTTCTTATTTTTATTGCTATTATTTGAAGACATTTACATTTATTTGGCCTATATCATTAATGTATTACTAATTTTTAAAATACAGTTTTATATTGCCAAGGGTTTGCCTTATTGAAGTCTTGCTGGTGGTTTGTAGAATGGAATGAGGGTTTGACATTAACATCTAGGCTTGAGTTATCTCTGATTTAATGCTTCAGAGTTACTAGATGACCTTTTGAGGACAGAACTTCATTTTCAAATTAACCCCGCAGGGAAATAGACCAACATTATTGAAAATATGTAACTATTTTATTTTATTATTTTATTGTAATAAGCATGGACATAAAATAAATATTTGGTGAACAAATTTAATCTCTTCACTGAAATTATATGTTGTAAATGAAATACATCTTTATTATAAAATAAACACAATATTTGAAGAGTTAAAATTTGAAGAGTTAAAATTTGAAGAGTTAAAATATATAAACATTAATTGGTTCACAAGACACTGGAGATATTCAGAAGCATCGCATAGGGGTGGTCTTGCCCCACAAACACTTGTCTATCCATCTCACCCAAGCCCCACACTTATGACCCAATATTAGCATGTTAAATACACGGGAAGTGAAGAATTGAGAAAATAATGCATATAATTCAAGCAAAACAAAATGCTTTATCCATACCTATTTATTTATTAGAGAATACAAAAGGAGGTACTTACTCTGGCCTGACTAACTGCCTCAATCATGACCTTGATTCTTCATTTTACTTAGAGTATGTAGACCTGTGCAATGACTAAAGAATAAAACAAGGAACAGAAACCAGTCCCTTCAACACCCAAACCTCAATTCCCTAATTGGGACTGTATTTCCTGTTGATGAGAATTGAGAGTTCATAGTATTCTGTTGATGTGTCTTATCAAGACAGATAATTCTGTTTGCTTGTAGGTGCACATCAGAGGTTCTGAGAGCATATTATTTTTCATTTATAAATTATTTTCATTTGAATATATAATTCTAAGCAAGTTTAACTGTATAAGTTAGATGCTTTAAAATCATCTTCTTAAATATCCTAACAGAGATTAGAGCTTCCTTCTCCCTAAAAGTGTTTAATTTCTAGTACATTTGAGTTTCCTAAAGGAGAAACAACTCTTTTCACTGAACAAACATTTTCATATTTTGATAAATTCAATTAAAAGTCCTTATTTGATGTCTATTATTTGCAGCTTGTTTTAAAAAGAAAAAAAGTCATCAATTTAGTTGTTACCATGTTAGTGTAAGAAATAATTTGGAGAAAAAATAAGTTAGGTTATATTTTAGAACATGTTTTATTGCTAGGGCTTATGAATTACAATAGAATTCGGATTTCTTAACAGATAATATATGGTTGTGGACAAAAAAAGAGTCTATCATTATACTAAGGATTATGGACATACTTGATTTTAGATTACACAAATTGGAACGGGGATTATTATTTGAGTCCAGTAATAGTAAATGCATTTAATACACATGAGGTCAGAATGTCTAAAGCAAGTCATTTTTATTCCTATCACAGGTGACTACAATCTATATGCCCTTTAAACTTTTCATCTCAATTTAAAAACAGTCGTAAAGCAAGTTCTCCTGCCTGATGTACTTACAGTTTCTGGCAAGACTCTATAAAACACACTGATCATAACCCACAGTTTGAGTGAAAAGCAGGTGTTAGACGTAACTGGTGGAGGTCTTACTAAGCACTGTCCCGTTCTGTGGTCGCTTATCTGTGTGTGGCGCAGGATGCTCAGCGGCTGGATATCTGTTCTTTTGCTTCTTTCTGTTGCAACAGCAGTACCCACAAAGCAGACCCCCTCCGATGAAGAGGACAGCGGTACTTGCCCAGCCAAGGAAGAGTGCCGCTCCCAGCTCTCGTTTCTGACCTATGTGGACGGCTGGGTTGTAGAAATCCCTGATGATGATATTGGCTGTCCAGCACACCGGAATGAGAACGAAGATGCCCGTCAGGATAAAGAGGACTCCAGAAGTTCCCAGAAGATATGCTTTAACCCTCTCGTTAGAGTCTTTGCACTGAATCTTCTTCATGCCGGAGATGCCAATAAGCAGAGCAATCAGAGATAAGGCAACAGCTACACACATGAGGGCACGGGCTGCTTCCAGGTCAAATGGGAGAGCCAGCAAAGAATTGTAGAACTTGCACTGCAACCTAACCTTGACTTGTCGGATGCAGTTCATCCAGAGCCCTTCCCAGATCCTTTCAAAGACAATAATGTTGCTGCCAACAAAAGCTGATACTCTCCACTGAGGCAGAAGTGCTGTGGCCAGAGTCCCCACCATGCCGAAGAACCCAAGAACCAGTCCAGCGATTTGCAGCGGGTTAAATGTCATTGCCTCTGCTTTAAACACAGATCCAATCAGCAAGGGAAGCTGCTCACGTCCCAGAACGGGGAGCCCTCTGTGAGGCTTCAGCGATCTCTGATGATGTTCTCCACTGTTACTGCCAAGAACACTTTAGTCCAAACCGGCAGCAGTGACTGAACGTGGCTTAACTAGAAGTACCTGTTGTACATGCATGCTGCCCTTGTACACTCGCATTCACTTCATACTACGTATGAATTACTTACTAGTCATATATAATTGTTTCTCAGCCAATAAGAACGTAGCCAGAGGTGTGCCAAGAAATACTGCATTCAGCGTTAGTATTTCTCATATTACTATTGTCTAAGCAATGTTGTAATTATGTGTCAAAATTTCCATTGTGGATTGCTAATTACAGAGTTGAAAACTTCTTGTCTAAAAATCACTCTGGGGCTTCCCTTGTGGCACAGTAGTTGAGAGTCCGCCTGCCGATGCAGAGGACACGTGTTCGTGCCCCGGTCCGGGAAGATCCCACGTGCCGCGGAGCGGCTGGGCCCGTGAGCCATGGCCGCTGAGCCTGCGCGTCCGGAGCCTATGCTCCCCAATGGGAGAGGCCACAGCAGTGAGAGGCCCGTGTACCGAAAAAAAAAAATCACTCTGATATAAAAGTATAAATACATGTGTTAAGCCACCACAGAAGAAAACACCAACACCTTGCCAGTTCTTTGGAGAGCATTTGCAAAACACTTTGGACTTCAGATGACCTACCATTTTCTTCTAATCTAAGCCACCTCTCTTTAATATGGTTCATGAATCCTGGTTTTAATAATGACTTCTTGAATTAAAATAAATGTTCAGGTATTATTTTCAAGACTTCTACTAAAATCACTGATACTTTATGAAACGGGACATCCTAAGCAAGACATGCAAATTTCATAGTTTCTTTATAAGATCCAGAAAGCAAGAACAAGGAGAAGCACTTCTTATTATTGAATTTACTGGTAATTATTATATTATCTGTTGAGTGACACCTTTCTCTCTGGTGAAATAATGTTTAGATTATAAATGTTCATTAGATGTTTCTTCAACAGCAGCTTGGAATACATCATATTTATCAAAGTCAAAAATGTATATTCCATTTTTATGGAGCAATATGAAAGTGACTCTTTGGATTAGATGTGTAATTACTTAAATCCACATAACAGAAAAATTTTTAGAGATGGAAGGCAGCTTCAAAGTCATCAGGCTTCAGTCTCTCATTTGCTAGATGAGGAATGTGAGGTTTTCAGAGCACCTGGCTAGACTAGCTGCACAGTAACTGATGCAGGAGTAGATATGGTCTCTCACCTATGATGCTTCCCTCCTCTTTCTAGTCTGACTCAAAAAAACAGGAGGATAGAGGATGAGGAGAAGATGGCAGAAGAGTAAGATGCGGAGATCACCTTCCTCCCCACAGATACACCAGAAATACATCTACACATGGAACAACTCCTACAGAACACCTACTGAATGCTGGCAGAAGACCTCAGACCTCCCAAAAGGCAAGAAACTCCCCACGTACCGGGGTAGGGCAAAAGAAAAAATAATAAACAGAGACAAAAGAATAGGGACGGGACCTGCACCAGTGGGAGGGAGCTGTGAAGGAGGAAAGGTTTCCACACACTAGGAAGCCCCTTCGTGGGTGGAGCCAGCAGGTGGCGGAGGGGGAAAGCTTCGGAGCTGCGGAGAGCACAGCAACAGGGGTGTGGATGGCAAAGCAGAGAGATTCCTGCACAGAGGATCGCGGCCGACCGGCACTCACAGCCCGAGAAGCTTGTCTGCTTACCTGCCGGGGCGGGCGGGGCTGCGAGCTGAGGCTCGGGCTTCGGTTGGAGCGCAGGGAGAGGACTGGGGTTGGCGGCATGAACACAGCCTGAAGGGGTTAGTGCTCCACGGCTAGCTGGGAGGGAGTCCAGGGAAAAGTCTGGACCTGCCAAAGAGGCAAGAGACTTTCTCTTCCCTCTTTGTTTCCTGGTGCTCGAGGAGAGGGGATTAAGAGCGCTGCTTAAAGGAGCTCCAGAGATGGGCGCGAGCTGCGGCTAAAAGTGTGGACCCCAGAGACGGGCAGGAGACTCTAAGGCTGCTGCTGCCACAAACAAGAAGCCCGTGTGTGAGCACAGGTCACTATCCACACCTCCCTTCCGGGGAGCTGTGCAGCCCGCCACTGCCAAGTTCCCGGGGATCCAGGGACAACTTCCCCGGGAGAACGCACGGCACACCTCAGGCTGCTGCAACGTCACGCCACCCTCTGCTGCCTCAGGCTCTACCCGCACTCCGTACCCCTCCCTCCCCCCAGCCTGAGTGAGCCAGAGCCCCCGAATCAGCAGCTCCTTTAACCCCATCCTGTCTGAGCGAAGAACAGACGCCCTCCGGCGACCTACACGCAGAGGCGGGGCCAAATCCAAAGCTGAGCCCCTGGGAGCTGTGAGAACAAAGAAGAGAAAGGGAAATCTCTCCCAGCAGCCTCAGAAGCAGCGGATTAAAGCTCCACAATCAACTTGATATACCCTGCATCTGTGGAATACCTGAATAGACAACAAATCATCCCAAACTTTTTGTGAGTGTGTACGTGTATGCTTCTGTGTGAGATTTTGTCTGTATAGCTTTGCTTCACCATTTGTCCTAGAGTTCTATCTGTCGTTTTTTTTTAAATTTTTTTCTTAATAATTATTTTTTATTTTAATAACTTTATTTTATTTTACTTTATCTTCTTTCTTTCTTTCCTTCCTTCCCTCCTTTAGACAACAATCATCCCAAATTGAGGAGGTGGACTTTGAGAGCAAGATTTATGATTTTTTCCCCTTTTCCTCTTTTTGTGAGTGTGTATGTGTATGCTTCTGTATGAGATTTTGTCTGTATAGCTTTGCTTCCACCATTTGTCCTAAGGGTATATCTGTCCATTTTTTTTTCTTTATTAATTTTTTTCTTAATAAATATTTTTTAATTTAATAACTTCATTATATTTTACTTTATCTTCTTGCTTTCTTTGTTTTTTCCTTCCTTCCCTCCTTCCATCCTTCCTTCCTTCCTCCCTCCCTCCTTCCTTTCTTTCTTTCTTTCCTTCTTTCCTTCTATCCTTTTCTTCTTTCTTTCTTTCTTTCTTCCTTCCTTCCTTCCTTCCTTCCTTCCTTCCTTCCTTCCTTTCTTCTTTCTTTCTTTCTTTCTTTCTTTCTTTCTTTCTTTCTTTCTTTCTTTCTTTCTTTCTCTCTTTCTTTCTTCCTACTTCTACTAATTCTTTCTCTCTACTTTTTCTCCCTTTTATTCTGAGCCGTGTAGATGAAAGGTTCTTGGTGCTGCAGCCAGGAGTCAGTGCTGTGCCTCTGAGGTGGGAGAGCCAACTTCGGACACTGGTCAACAAGAGACCTCCCACATGCACATAATATAAAATGGTGAAAATCTCCCAGAGATCTCCATCTCAATGCCAGCACCCAGCTAGACACCCTATGCCAAACAACTAGCAAAACAGGAACACAAACCCAGCCATTAGCAGAGAGGCTGCCTAAAATCATAATAAGTCCACAGACACCCCAAAACACACCACCAGACGTGAACCTGCCCACCAGAAAGACAAAATCCAGCCTCATCCACCAGAACACAGGCACTAGTCCCCTCCACCAGGAAGTCTACACAACCCACTGAACCAACCTTAACCACTGGGGACAGACACCAAAAACAATGGGAACTATGAACCTGTAGCCTGCAAAAAGGGGACCCCAAACACAGTAAGATAAGCAAAATGAGAAGACAGAAAAACACACAGCAGATAAAGGAGCAAGATAAAAAGGCACCAGACCTAACAAATGAAAAGGAAACAGGCAGTCTACCTGAAAAAGAATTCAGAATAATGATAATAAAGATGATCCAAAACCTTGGAAATAGAATAGACAAAATACAAGAAACATTTAACAAGGACCTAGAAGAACTAAAGATGAAACAAACAACAATGAAAAACACAATAAATGAAATTAAAAATACTCTAGATGGGATCAGTAGCAGAATAACTGAGGCAGAAGAATGGATAAGTGACCTGGAAGATAAAATAGTGGAAATAACTACTGCAGAGCAGAATAAAGAAAAAAGAATGAAAAGAACTGAGGACCATCTCAGAGACCTCTGGGACAACATTAAATGCACCAACATTCGAATTATAGGGGTTCCAGGAGAAGAAGAGAAAAAGAAATGGACTGAGAAAATATTTGAAGAGATTATAGTTGAAAACTTCCCTAATATGGGAAAGGAAATAGTTAATCAAGTCCAGGAAGCACAGAGAGCCCCATACAGGATAAATCCAAGGATAAATATGCCAAGACATGTATTAATCAAACTGTCAAAAATTAAATACAAAGAAAGCCTATTAAAAGCAGCAAGGGAAAAACAACAAATAACACACAAGGGAATCCCCATAAGGTTAACAGCTGATCTCTCCGCAGAAACTCTGCAAGCCAGAAGGGAGTGGCAGAACATATAGAAAGTGATGAAGAATAAAAACCTGCAACCAAGATTACACTACCCAGCAATGATCTCATTCAGATTTGATGGAGAAAGTAAAACCTTTACAGACAAGCAAAAGCTGAGAGAGTTCAGCACCACCAAACCAGCTTTACTACAAATGCAAAAGGAACTTCTCTAGGCAAGAAACACAAGAGAAGGAAAATACCTACAATAACGAACCCAAAACAATTTAGAAAATGGGAATAGGAACATACATATCAATAATTACCTTAAATGTAAGTGGACTAAATGCTCCCACCAAAAGACACAGATTGGCTGAATGGATACAAAAACAAGACCCATATATATGCTGTCTACAAGAGACCAACTTCAGACCTAGAGACACATACAGACTGAAAGTAAGGGGATGGAAAAAGTTATTTCATGCAAATGGAAACCAAAAGAAAGCTGGACTAGCAATTCTCACATCAGACAAAATAGACTTTAAAATAAAGATGATTAGAAGAGACAAAGAAGGACACTACATAATGATCAAGGGATAGATCCAAGAAGAAGATATAACAATTGTCAATATTTATGCACCCAACATAGGAGCACCTCAATAATTAAGGCAAATACTAACAACCATAAAAGGGGACATTGACAGTAACACATTCATAGCAGGGCACTTTAACACCCCACTTTCACC